AATCAAACAGTTGCAAACAGAAGTGCAGCTTGCCCTCTTCAGGAAACATTCTGGAAAATAGATCAGGATTTGCATTAGGATCCTGGGGGGAAGGCGGTTGGTTGAGAGCACCTCTTGGAGCTGTTTGTAATACAGTAACAAACTGCAGAGTCAGGCAGGGTGGCACAATGTTGCAACTGAACACACGGCGGTTGTGTGTGCAAGAGGAGAATGAGAGATTCCTGTGACTGAGGGCTTAGAAGGCTGATAAAACAAAGCAGCTTTAAGTCAGCTTTATAACAAAACTTGGTTAGGGTGATATTCATTAACAATACATGTTGCTAATGGCTAGGTTTTACTCATTCCTAACCATTACCACTGCCTAGTCAAAGTAATTAGTCTGTAACAGTCCCATAATGAGCACAGGGTACCACAGAGCTGGTGCCTGTGTTTAGCACTGATGGTTATGGTCCTTGATGACCAGATGTGTGAGGCTGGTGCCTCTCTAGAAGATGGATTTTCTTATTGCTTAGCAGTTTTATGCCTCCTTTTAAGCTTTTGCTGCTATTAAAAGAAAAGCAGGGGTTTTTTCCCCCAAAACTCAAGGTTCATCAGTGACTGATAATTGACCATCACTGAGTAGTTTACGGTTTTGGGCCACTCTTCTTTCAAACCTGTGCCCTTATTTTCCAGGTCTTTGTTCTTATCTCATGTGTAAGCTGTAGCAAGAGGCATCTGGTACCCAGCTCTAGCTCCCCAATAAGTTCTCTGAATAATTTCTTAAGCATCAGAGACCAGAATTTTGTCCTTGCACATTTGGCATTGGAACACAGACCTGTTCCTAGCAGTGGCAATACTATTTTTACTGAGCCACTTGGTACAAAAATGCTTATACTTAGTTTGCTAGTCATGCTGTGTAAGGTTGCTTATGTTTGAGTTCATAACAAACTAATAATTAAGTATGACTCAAGCTGTTGCTTTTATGGGTGCAAAAGCTTCTGTTTTGGCTGCAGACAATTAAGGTTTTATAACTATGTAGCTAGTCATGAGCACTGCATTCAACTAATGAACAATTTAATCCTGAGTATCCTGAGGATAGTGGTGTTCTAATCTTACCCTGAGTAAGTATTGTTTCTAATCTAGCTACAGATTGGACAGAGAGCATCAAGCTGTGTATATGTACATACTTAAAAAGAGACTTTGCTTAATCTCTTGTAGATGATTAATTCTCCTTCTTTAAAAGTGAAGAGGAATACATGGATATGTGTCACCAAAATCTGTTCACATGTACTCTATTTTAAGCATTAAAAAAATAGCAAAGTCTTAAAATGCCGAGAAATGTGTGGTTTGCATCCCTCATGTATGGATTACTTTAGCATTGGGATACTTATCTGAGTTGATTTTAAATAGTGTCAGGGTTCTTTTGTTGTGATGACATCAGCATGGTAATGTTATCCTCTCTAACTAATGAAATGACCAGCTGTTGGACAGCGTTTCATTAAACATAGAACAGGAAAAAATGTGTTTTTAATGAAGCACTCTAATAGTACTTTTAGTACTTTAACATTTTTGTGCCTATGTAAATGGGTGTAAGTTTAGCCTCTTTCCAAAGAAATCTGCTAATCATTTTTGTCCAGGGTAGGGGCAGTTTTGTTTTAAATTGTTGTATGTTTTTCGCAGAAGATGTAGTTAATCTGTTTTGAAAACAAAATACCAAAACAACCCCCAAAAAACTCAAACAACAACCTTCCCCTCTCCCCCCATCATGCCATCATGTTGTTTCAGATGTGGTGCGATTTTGGTAGTTAGAGTTGAATTTGAGGAAGAACATAACAGAGATGTTTAGTAAAGGTATTCTTGCCTTATATATCTTTTAATTTGTGTGTGTGTCTGTGTTTTTCACGCTTGGTGTTTAGTTTTGGTACATTTAGCTGCTCTGATTAAGTCAGGAGCAATTATCTTCCTAACACTTTCACAACCAACCTCCCAACTATAACATCCAGTTTCCAGAGGGTGCTGGAATTATTTCAAGAGTTATACTTAAGAGTGAGACCACATCTTTCCAAAGCTTAAGACAAAGGGGGTGGGGGTGGCAAAAAAGAACACCTGTCATTATTTAGAGGAATGAAGAAATATGTGCTTCCATATTCTCTTTAAACATGACTCCTATTGTGCGTTTTGGAGACTAGACTAGGAAAAGGCCTTAGTAGTTAACAGGATTGGCTCCTTTGGGAACATTTATAAGGCATGAGGGAGAATGAGGGAAATACTCTACTGCCTTAAGTTGGGAATGGCTTGCTTGATATGAGCAGGAAGATAACTTGTCAGTCAAAATCTATCAGTGATTATAGTAGACAGAAGTGTGCTTATTGCTTCAACTCTTGGTCAGCTCAGTTATTAATTTCCTGTCAAAACAGAAATAAAAAGAGACATTTCTGTGCTGCTGTCTTCTAGAATTCCGCATAACCCCTTGATATCTTCTGTCCACTGTCCACTTAGGTACCAAATAATGAGTCATTACAGGTATGTGGTAATCATTAGCTGTGGAATAGTTGTGTTGCAGACCTTGACAGCTGTCAAACCTAGGGTTAAACATATACCCAAGTCAGTGCAGCCGGCCATGGAAGCTCTGGGAAGCACAGAGATTCTACTGTGCACTTCACAAACCACCTTGACCACCAGCAGTGCTGTAAACTTAATTAGTTAAGTATATGTCGTTGGGCATTCATTGAGTTGCTGACCACTGGAATTGCTTAAGGAAAAAGTAAAGGTGGTTGGTGGTGTTTGGGTTTGGTTTTTTGGGGATTTGTTTGTTTGTTGAAATACTGAATGCCAGTCTTCCATCTATCAATTAATATAAGTCCTTTCTTAGAGCAGTACTTTAACATTTGCTGTCTACCTTGTTACAGTTTTTGAGTGGATTTAAGATGTATTTTTCTGTTGATAAATGGAATAAAAAAGTCAGCAGCTCTATTTAAGTAGATCATTCTCATAGTTCAGTGTTATATACACTGTTCCTTATACCATCCTTGTTTCTGTTCTAAAACTTTAAAAAGAAGACTGTGAAAACTTGCATTTTTTAATTTCTGTTTTTAATGTTATTATGTTCAGAGGTTTTTTCCCCTAAACAACTAGTCATAAAAAGTCATTAGCATTTGTCTGTTAAAACGGGGTGGTGATAGGTTTACTTTCTTATTCAGTGTTTTCCACTTCACAGACAACTCATAACTGGGGAAGAAATATTGACTGTTTAACCACAGATCTTATTGCCATAGAGGATGCTGGCAGTTCTTACTTGAAATTAAGTCATTGTGGGAGTTTGTCTGAAATATTTTGGATGTATTTTTAAAGTTTTGATGTTGTTTTAAACTATGGAATTTTCTATATTTTATCACACCAGATATTGTAAAAGAATAGTAAAACATTCAAATTTTAATGATATAACTATTCAGTCAACTCAAGAATATCCCAAAGCTATGGTTAAATAAAACATAAAGAAGTAAAACTTCCCTCTACCATTTCTTGGAAAATTAACTGCTTTATGGAGAGCAGCATTAATGGAGTCCTTCATTTTCTCTGTTGAGACTGTTCATTTTCTTTGTTGAGATATTCTAAGTGTGGAAAAAGTCAACTTGAGGGCTTTATAATAGTTTTCACTGTACTTGGAATTAATTTCTCTGTACCATTCCTCCTTAAGCAAAAGACAGCTGCAGATTGTTCTTTTAGCAATGTAAGTGCATGGGACAGTCTCTCCCTTGCCTGCTTTTAGTCTACTAGGTAATGCACATTCACTTCTACAATCCATCGTGTGTGTGAAACGGGCAAACACAGGACATGTTGGAAGATAAGTGCTCCAAAAGTGTTCCTGTCCCTCTGCAGAACTCCTGGTTCGACTGGAAGCAGAAGATCCAAAGGGAATTTTAACAAGCAGGGAGCACTGCTAGCAGGCATCTGTGTAATTATCCTATTAAAACAGAGCAGCATCTGCATTATCTATGCAAGTGCAGAATGGAAGGGAACATTATGTTCTCTAATCCTGTCTGGGAGCATTATGAAGTTAAAAGGATAACATTTTACCAAATCTGTGTTCTAACATGATAGGTTACACTTAATTGCCTTTAATTACCTTTCTTCTGGTGGCTTTCAGCTAAAGACCCTGCCTCTAACCCTCATCACAGACCTTTCCTTGCCTTTGGGTTGTTTATACCAGGTTTTAAATTTGAGTTTTCCATGAAAAGATGGTCCTACTGTGTCTTGAAGGCTGTTACTACAATTCTTTTTACCTAGTGTGTGAAGAGCTCTGAGAATATTAGTTTGTGTACACAAGATGTGTAGCATTCGGACATTTTGCAACCAGAATGGTTGCAAAAGGCAAAGTCATTGGACTATGTTTTATGAATAAGGAGTAACAATGCATGGCAGGGACCACACAGGAGCAAGCGATTATTCCAGCCTTCTACCTGCTTGCAGTGTAAGGCAGGAGAGTGTATTGGCTTAAATAATGTAGATTTCTTTTTTCCTCTTTACCCCTGAGGGAGTCTGATTTCCTGATCACCTATCTAGCCATATGCCGTAGCCCTTGCCAGGAACTCCGAGCAGTGTCACTGCCAGCTAAAATTACTTGTTTTCTGAGAACTGAATTACATTGAGAATTGTCTTAAATTGCTGCACTGGCACCATCACAAAGTTTTGCATACACACACAAAACTAAGTACGTAATAGCAGTCTTACCTTGGAATTCAGCTTAGAGACTGCTTCAAGCATTGAATTTGATCCAGATCCTGTGGCATGTTCCACACCTGCTCAGGCACATCCCTCCTGCTCTGTTGTCTTTCCAGGGCTTTTCTCATCCTCTTTGTGCTCTGGCTAGTACACTACAATGATGAGACATGCAAATTAAACATTTACAAAGCCAGCATATTGTCTCCTCCTGTTTTCTGCCAGTTACAGGGAGGACCTCGTATGGCTAGTGAAAACTTCACTTGTGGTAACTATGCTTCTTTTCTTTCTCCTTGCAACAGGATCGACCTGAAACACGGATATGCATTGACAAAGGAGTTGGAATAAGACTGAGTCCTGCTCTGTGATATTTATATACCTGGACCATGAACTTACTGTTTGGCTTCATGATTTAGGAACCTTTGTAGTAACTGTGTGAAGCTGTTGGGAATCATGGCATTCTCTCCATGGAAGCTGTCCTCTCAGAAACTTGGCTTTTTTCTAGTGACTTTTGGGTTTATTTGGGGAATGATGCTTCTACATTTTACTATTCAGCAGCAAACACAACATGAAAGCAGTTCAGTCCTGCGTGAGCAAATTTTGGATCTCAGCAAAAGATATATCAAAGCTTTAGCTGAAGAAAATAAAAATGTGGTTGATGGACCTTACGTGGGGACAGTGACAGCTTACGGTAAGTGTGTTCTCTAAATGACATAATAATGTGATTAAGGCTTTTTTCCTAAGTTGTCCAAATATTTTATTTCATAATGCTGCTCAATTGACAGTTCTTCGCCCTGTGGATTTTCTGTACCGATGGAGAAAGTGGTCTTCCCTTATAAGTATGAAATAGGACAAATTTTACATTTCCAGTCACTTGGAAATGAAGCTGTCTGCTAATTGTTTTTACATCTATCTAGTAGCTATATCCAGTATGCCTTAGGTTATTTGTTAGAACTTCATTTTAAAAAACTTTTTTGATGTTCTTGAGAAGCTTGCAAGGCTTTTCAGTTTGCATGTCAGTGATCTAAGAAATTCCCTGTGGATAGAGACCTGCTATGTTTATTTCTTCTTCTCTATTTCACTTCTATGTTCAGTCAATTTACTTAATGTTTAAGTTTATATCTGGCATAATCTTAAATTAGGCTTAAATATATCCTATTTGCCTCAGGGCAGAGAACTTTGAGTGCTTTGTTCGGCAGTAGGTTTTAATGCTGATTCTCTTCCAGTTTGTACACGAGAGTTAAGTTTGCATGTCTGAGATAAAGTAAGTAGAAAAAAACAAAGCATATTACCAGAAAAGAGTATCAAAATAAAAATATAATCCAATTTCAGGTTAGATGTAGCCCCTTTTTCAATCTGATAAGATCACATCATGCACCTTACTGGTTTAACATTTTTCAGACTCACTTTCTTTCCTACTTACCTATGTTCTTTCAGGCTGTTCGGAAAGCTAATGGTTAATTAATGATCTAGGTTTGTTTCCTTTTATAGTTGCTTTAATATTCAGCTCTGAAGAAACTGGATAGATGTTCTTGTATGCTTGGACAAAGAATATAGACTAGGATGCAAAAGATAACAGCTGCACATTTTTCTCTAGTTTTCTCTTAATGCTCTTTACCTTTTGGTGCATGCAGTGAAAATATCTTGCTGGGAGGTTCTGTCCATGTCTTGTTTCTGTTACCTCTTTTTTTCTTCTAAAAAGTGAGTTTTTGGAGTTTGTGTGCATTTGGTTGCCTGTAAGGCTGAGATTATTATCCCGAACATTGCTAACAATTGTGTTGCTTCGTCGCTTGAATAACAGCCTTGCTCTGTAACTCCTGATTTGTGACTGCAAGTTGAACTATGCTGGCACTGTAGTCTTACAAAGCAACACAAGCAAAATAGAGTGGTACTAGATCAATATTTGGATTGAAGACCTGCAAGCAAGTAGAGGTCTCTAGAGGATTGTGTTCATGGGTTTAAAACAAAACTCTGTCTGCTTTATAGCCATCACCAGTGTCCTGTTATTGTGTAAGGCTGCTTGACGGTAGGTGAACTGAAGAAGAAAAAAGGCAGCAACAAACCCCAAATAGTCTGGCTCCAGGTGTTGAAAGGTAACTGCATTAGTATGTGCCTGAGCGAGGTCTGAGGGTTCAGGATATCCTTAAGCTAAGTTCCCCCTGCAGCTCGTAGCCTGAGGCATTCATTTCCTGTTCCAAATCCCGCTGAGGAAGAAGTTGACTTGCTGCCAGACAGTGGTCAAGTTCCCCAGGAGAAGTTAAACTGCATTTGAAAGTGGGTAAAATAACTTTGTAACACTTCTGTGAAGGTAAAGCTAAGTTTTGTGTAGAAATTTCAAGTCTGTGGCCAAGACTAAAGACTTCAACACCTGGCCAAACTTAACATTTTCAATAAAGTAGTTTGGAAAGATGCAAAATAATGGTAATGTATTTATTTAAAATATTACAGGCTCACTGTGGTGAGTCAATAACACCATATTAAATAATACTTTATGAATCTGAGTAAGGTAATTACTTAATAAGTAAGTTAATTTTTCCTGTTTTACATACCAAATGGTTTGTTGCTAGCAAATGATCAGGTTAGCTGTTCAGGAATAAACACATTAATGACTGATGTTAATAAAAATTGGTAGATTGCTTTACTGTTTTATGAAAATTAGTGCTCTTGCTAAATTAGCCTTTTTATTTCTTTTAATATTATGCTCTGGTTTCTTTAAGTGTAAGCACAGCTGTGATTTCCATGTTCAAGAATAAGTTTAATGTTTACTTGATTTGGCTGCTTTTACCTACCCAAAAGGTTTTTTAGCCATTCCTTAATTGTGGTTCCACAGCTTGTTTACTTTCTCACTTTTTCATTCTACCATATAGTCACCTGCCAGGTAGGTGGATGAAACACTTTTCTTTTAAAAGTTATAGTCCAGATATACACAGTGAAAATTAGATTCTTTTTTATAGCAGTAAATATTTTTTTTACAAAAATTTTTGTGAATCTGTGCTTCTGCCCACCTCTTTTCAAACTAGCCTCCACTTGCCTTTTTGTTCTGCCAAGCAGTCTCTCATATCAGTTTTTTGGTATTAGAGTTAAAAAATAATAATTTGTAGCCATTTTTTTCTCTATGATCTGTGTCTGCCTTTATGTATGCTATGTTTCTTCCTCTCTGTTTCCTGAATTATTTTTACTACTTTTTTTCCTAGACTTTTTTCATCCTTCTGTACCATGGTTTTATTCATGTTGAGTCCATTCTTTCCTTTTCTTCTGCACACTATGCAATTAAATGACTTCCGAACCCCCTTTAAAACAGTCCAGATGACTAGTGCTTCAGATTCCCCTTTCTGATCTTTACAGGACAAAGGAAAGCACAGAGTTATAAAGAAAAAGACCTACTTTATAGTTCCATGGAATAAATATAACTCTCCTTTTATTTGGAAAAAAGAATTATAAGGTTTCTAAAAGTAATAGTGTTTTGTTATTTACTCTGTCTTTTGCACAAGAATTGAGATAAAATTAAAAAAAGAAGGAGCACAAAATAAATGTGGCAAAAATACAACTGATATAGAAACAATGGAATCTTTTCAGGTGTATGGAGAAATTTTCTATTACAGATCAGAAAGTTATTTGATTCTAAAGTTCTGGAAAACAGAAAATGTATTATATGTATATACATGTAATTATTTTATGTAATTAAATGGGAAAATAATGTAAATTCCTCGTGCCAAATTCTTTAATCTTTACAAAGGTAAATGAAAAAAGAACAATACTTTCAGCATCTTGGCTTGTTGCCATTATAATTATGCAGTTTACTCTGATAGTGGTCTAGCTTTCTCCACTTGCCCACAGTTCTTTTAGCTTGCGAAACTCTCTGTGTTCCTTCAAGGAATCTGAACAAAATAAAAGCAAAAGAAAAAAATATCAGAGAGCTCTTTCTGTGTTGTTGTTTGATATGCAAACTCCTGTTATTGTTTATTGCTTTGCACAGCAAGGAAGTGCTGTCAGACCAAATAGGGGCTATCACTAAGAGACTGAAGAAAAGAAACACCTGATTTTTGTTTTGTGAATAGGACAGAAAGGTTGAACTTAAATGTGTGTTTGGATGTTTTGCCAGTGGAGAAGCTGGTTATGTGGAGAAGATGCAGGAGAAGGTTTTTGAACTGGGGCTCAAAGCTACCCCTTTTGGAATGGGGATTTTAGTTTCCAGGTGACTGAAGAACTGACTGTTCTGCTGATAGTGCTTGAATATGGATTTAAGTGTAGACTCATTATTATTTAAGCAGCTTCTTATTGCTTGAGCTATTACAAAACATGCATTTTTCTATTCCTATGTGTGTCTCCATGAGGGAGCACACTTTACCTTGAACATGGATGTCCATATGAGTTCCAGTGTGCTTTATAAAATGGACGGCAAGTTCCACATCCAGGGAAACTTGTATGTGAAGCTGAACATGGTAAGGAATGTGGGTGCACAGAACTGCTAATGGCGAAGATTTGCGCTGAGAAAGAGTTTATATATAATCTAGTCTTGTTCTTTTATCTGTTTTTTGATCCTGTCTGACAAGTGTGCATTGCATTATTAAGCAATTTAACTTTTCATTTTCCTTTGCAGATTTGAAGAAGACTCTTGCTGTCCTGTTGGATAATATCTTGCAGCGCATTGGGAAACTGGAGTCCAAGGTGGAAAATCTTGTCCTTAATGGAACAGGAGCAAACTCTACCAACAATACTACTACTTCTACTCCCATCTTAGGAGCAGTTGAAAAGCTTAATGTAGCAGGTGGGTATGGCAATTACTAAAAGTATTTATGGGCTCTTTAATCTATATTTTTCTCTCTTGACCATAACATGATTTTTCAGTGTTAAGTACATGGAATGTCTTAGAAAACGAAATTCGAAGTCTAGCCTTTATCAACAGCAATCTAAAATCTAAGCTCAGAGGAAGACTTTCTTCTGTGGTAACTTGAACACATGAAGAAAATCAAATTCTCTACCAAAGGGGTACAGTCCACCTGTTTATAGTAGATGTTTCGTGCTTTAAGTGGTTTCGCTTTAGAACGATGAAAGTGGGCAGATGTTTTCTCTCTAAGCCTAACTATTTGGGTTGGTATGAATCTGCTGTGAAATTCTACCATATGCACTTTGTTGATTATTAAGTGAAAGAAAACATTAATTGTATTTATTACTGGTCATGATTTAAAAATGTACTTCCCTATAGTGCTTAATGGCTCTTCGGATTTGATACAGAGAGATTGCCTACCTGGTACCTTCATCTTAAATAAAAACATGTTTTGACAAGTCATTTGAAGTCACTAATTTTGTCTTCAGTGAATGGACTGTTTTGTTCTGCCACCAAGTCTAAACAGATGCTGAGAGTCCTGACTAGTAGGAAGGTCTGAGTCTGCCCTGCTAATGATCTTTGCAGTCCCAAAAAGGGAGCAGAGCAGAAGAGTTAGGGCAACTTGGTAAATAGGTTGATAACTGTGCTCCTAAGTCATGCCTGTGCTTGGTTTTCTTGTAAAAATATATGTTTCTGTTAAGAGTATGTTACCTACTTAAATCTGTCAAAACAGAGAAACAAATGGTACCTTTTGGTAGGGTAGTGCCCTGCCCTTTGTGTCTCTCTTGCCATGTAGTAACAATATGCTTATAGGAATTTGCAACAGCCCTTTGCACGTGTGTTTTACTACAGCTTGCCTTGTGGTACCTTTCCTTCCACCTCTGTCTCTCTTGTCTTGGTTAAAGTGAGGGCAGATTAGGAAGAAGTAGCTGAAGAGGTGTAGCACCTGCAGGTTACTAATAGGCTGAGCCATGTTGCTGCCACAAGACATAGAGCACAAAGTCTTTGTTGGAAAATATTCCACTGCGATGGAAGGTGAGGGAGTACAGCACTGTTATAGTTTCTGGGCTATATATAAAATGAGAAACATCCCTGTATGTTTTCTTTTTGTAGCTGGACAAAAGAGAGCCTTGATGCTGTTATTTCAACAGATTTACAGATAATTGGAAGATACATACTCATGTTGTTGCTTTAACATTTATAGGCAAAGGTTCATTGTTCTTGTCTGACTAGAGGAAACATCTTTCATCAGTTCTTAGGGTTATTTTAATTTTGTTTGTTATTCTTGGAGTTGACTAGATTCACAGTTCTGGAGCCTGCTAGGAGTTTTCAGTTTGCAGTGTTTGCATAGCTTTTTGCTGCCTGAGGCTTGCTCTGTGACAAAGAACATGATTCGTCTTATTAGAGGTTCAGTTTTTTACCTTTGATTCTTGGTACACTGAGTTTAAAGTGTCTGAAGAAACTATTAAACAACCACAACAGAAAAACCTTTTGGTAACAGTTTCTTAAGTTTCAGTTAGTGTATTGTTCTGATGACTAGATGATGTTACTGGTCAGGTATCTCCAGGCTGGATAGTACCAATGGTTAGAGTAGAGCTTGGATCTAATCTTGTGTCAAGTGCCTGCTCCTCATCCATTTGAAGCAATCAGTTGCAATTACTCTGACCAGAGGCAGCCAAAAGGAAATGAAAGACTTGTTTCTACTTCTGCCTTGGTAGTAGTTTCCTGACAGCAAACTCTGGAAGCCGTATGATTCCAGTATAATCATAATATAAATATCTTCTCTCTCAGGAAGGAATTTTTCAGAAAATAAGCTGGATGAGTACATTGTGATTACAATACCAGTTGCAGTGTTGGTTTTGTCTGTAATATTTCGAAAACATCCTTTTTTTTTCTTGTTCTAGAGCATTTGAGGTAATCTGAAAATTGTAGTAAAGGCATTTTGTTACCCAACAGTTTGTAGTTTTCCTGGATCTGAAACATGTATGTATACAAATACACAATACTTCCATTGTTTTCTTTGTAATATTCAGCTGTTATGCTGTGATCACAGAAATCAAGCATGTTAGGATGACCCTTCCTCTCTTTACCAGCTGTAGTATTTTAATGCCGACTTTAGACAGATTCATGGTAGCTATTGTTAATAATTTTGCTCTTCCTGTCTGGACAACAATAGAATTTATGGAGCATCCTAGTAGCATCGTGTTTAATAATTCTGGTAACTTTTTAAAGACTTCTTGAGTTTATATTTTTTGCAAATCTTTTCTCTTTTTTTCTTTAACCTCTGAAGTAAATTAAGCATTTAATAGCCTCATTCATCAGTGCAACAGTGCAGTGTCATTAGCAGACTTTCCTACAAGAGTCCTGCTTCCAGCGGAGCTACTTCATGCATTTATTTTTTTTTTTGGATTGAGCTGTCACAGTACACTGGGACCTCTGATTATATAATCTGTATAAGCATGTCCCTTTACTTGTGGAAAGCCTTTCTGAAATAAATGGAGCTTCATGCAGGCTTGAACTCACCCTAAAATCTATTGACACTGCTTGTAAACCTTGGTAGTAAATAGTGGAGTCACAAATCATCCCAAGATCTGCATTTTGTCCTCACTGACCTTGTGTAAAGTTTACTGTGTTATATACTACCCAAGTAGATAAAAGTGTTAAAATAAGAAGGTGGTTATGGTATAAGTATTTGTCCTCACTGCTGATTATGACAAACCCAAGAGCAAAACATAGTCAGTTTTAAATGATAAGAAAAATATTACGGTGGCAGGCTAGACTGCTCAATCTGAATATGCCACAAGCTTTTCTTCATTGTGTATTTTCAGTGGTAATAACACTTTTACAAAAGAAAAAAGTAGTCCTCATCTGCAAACTAGGAAAGAACAGAGATTATGATGATTAGTCAACATTTCTCCTTCCAAAGCCTCTCTGCAAGTATAGAAGTTAATAAACCAGCAAAGATTTACTTTTTTTTAATGCTGTTCAACAAAAGAGGGTGTAGTCTTCAATGTATAAGGCAATGGGAGCCACAAAAGCTAGGGAGATCCAGTGTCAGACTGGGACGTGTTCTTACCTGGAGTTTATAATCCATTATAAATTACTTCTTGAAGGAATGAGCAATAACTTCTCTGAAAGAGCCTGACAGCAAAAGAAAAAGGAGGCACTGGCATGGGAAATAATCAAACTATTTAGCAGTTTGGAAAAAAAGTCTTTGTTTTGAATTATTCATATAGCTAGAAGTTGAAGAATCTGTGGCCAAACAGTAGCCATTGTGGTTATTTGTGCCTTGTAACAACCTAATAGAAATATTTTGACTTCTTTAAAACAGTTTTGATAGTTTTTAGCCTGTGCTTTGACCGCTGTAGCCTGAATGAGCAATTTATGTGATAGGTATTACTTGCTACAGAGCCCATGAACTTTTCTTTCAATAGAGTAGCCTCTTCATTACTATACTGAAACTTGAGATATGTTGGTATTTAGAGATTACCTGCCATAAGAAAAATATATTATTTGACCAAGATTTATAGTTGTACTTCGGGCAGACATGCAGGCATCTTAAGAATATGATTATTTAAAATTTAAGGGCTGCTTGGAAATCAAGGTATTCATTACTTTACAAAGATCTCTTCAACAGTTATACTCTTTATTTGGTGAGACATGGAGAAAAGTGCTTTGGGTTTGTTTTGGTTTTTTTTAAATTGTTCCACCTCTGGCTATCAAGTGTGATGTAGAACTGAGATGGTAGTGGTGAAATCTGCCATGGAAAATACCACTCTGTGGTGGTGTGGAGAGTTTTTGGCAGATAAAAGGATCTGCAGAAAATCCATCTGGATTATGCTCATTCATGATAAGAAGGTGATAACAGTTGGTAGGAGGACTTGCTGAGGATTTAGCAAAGACTGTAATTTAACTGCCTCTGAAGTAGGGGAACTCGAACTTTCTTTTGATTCATTTTTGAGTTTTGATCACAAGGCGAGAGCATCTCTCCTACTGAAGACAGGCTGAGAGACTGGGGCTGTGCAACTTGGAGAAGAAGAGGCTCTGGGGAGACCTTAGAGCCCCTTCCAGTACCTAGAGGGGGCTTACAAGAGAGATGGAGAGGGACTTCTTACAAGGGCATGGGGTGACAGGACAAGAGGAGGGTGGGTTTAGGTTAGATATTAGGAAGAAAATCTTTGAGTAGGGAGACACAGGCACAGGTTGCCCAGAGAGACTGTGAACACCCCATCCCTGGAAGTGTTCAAGATCAGACAGGAAGGGGACTGAAGCAACCTGGTCTGGTGGAAGATGTCCCCGCCCATGGCAGGGGGATCGGAACTAGATGATCTCTAAGGTCCCTTCCAACTCAAACCACTCTGTGATTCTGTGACTCTTAATCTAATGGTTATGTATATGTAGACTGTAGTGTGCATTCATATCCTCACTGCGTTTAGGTTTAATGTTTTTTTTAGTGTGGTACTGCACCTAGTTCTTCCTCAGAAGTTAGTTTTGTGGAATCTTTCATTAAGGGAAGCCCAAGAGCAAAACAGCTTCTCTTCTCTTTTGGGTTGTATGAGAGGATAATACAGCATGAGCTCTCAGTATCATAAATGTCTTTAATACTAGTCCTAAAGGAGCTGAGAGTGGGACCTGTGCTAGAGGGTGAGGCTGCATAGATTATGTTCAAAAGGAAAGCCGTGAGCGTTTAGGTAGCTTGAGTGGGAGGTTAGGTGTTACTTTTTTTTTTTCCTCTTTAGATCCATGTGTAAAATCATAACCATATTTTGCTTTTTCTTCTTCCCTCGGCAAAAAGATCAAACAATATGGTGGTTTTGATACTGACAATTTTCAACTGCTTTTTCAGAACCTCCATTTCGTTTATGAAAGAGTGAATTGTTAAGGCGCTTATGAGGCATCGGCTGATTTGTTTTGAAAGCAATAAAATCTTCTTTCCTTCC